TGTGTGTGTGTGTGTGTGCGCGCGCGCACGCGCGTGTGTCTGTGTCTGTGTTCGTGTATGTGTGCTTGTTTATGTTTGTATATTTGTGTGTGTGTGTGTGTGTGTGTTTATGAGTACATATATGGGTATGTATGTGTGTGTGCATGCGTGAATATTATATCATAATATTATTATATGCGTGTGTATGTTGGTATGAGTGTATGTGTGCATGTGTGTGTATGTGCGTATATGCGTGAGTGTGTGTATGTGTGTGTGCATGTATGTGTGTATGTGTGTATGTGTACGTGTGTGCGTGTGTAATATATGTGTGGGTGTGCCGTTGTTTGTTCCTGTGTGCGTGCCTGGGAAAATTTCAGAGCGTAACTTTTGATCATTAATTTGTACCGCGTCAGTGCGTACGCCGTATTATTAGGTAGCTCCTATTGCCCCCCCTTGTGGGGAAGGAGAGCCAGAGGAAGGCAAAGAATAACAAGGATGGACAACATAGGAACATGGACTGGCCTGGATATGGCAGAATTAGCAACGTCAGCTCGCGACGGTGAAGGATGGAAAGTCATTACACGTCAACCTCTGAGTCAGTAATGACACCTCCAGGAATCCAAGCATTCATAAAAAATATACCTATGTCCTTTGGGTGCTTTGAATGAAAGCTCAAATGTGTAACAATTCTGTGACGACGAACTTCTCTACTACATAATAAAGAGCGTACACATACCTGACCATTTCGAAAACAAAATAATTAAGCACACCATGGTGAAGTTATCGTAACAGGAGACGGGAGTACAACAAATATCGGCCGAAAGTTCCCTCATCACACAGTAGCAGATTTCATCAGCACACTAACTTGTTTACTGAAGGAATACACCATGTGCATTTTGTTTTGATAATATGAAATTAAAGAATCAAAAATGTATATGGAATTAAAGAATCCCAAGTTTTTCAAACTGCAGTTCCTCCCCATTAAAATGGAATTGAAGAAACTGTTTCAGTTCACCTACAGCGGATATTCCCTAGGTTACTCTGCACCTGGGCTAATGATTTCCTCTACTATTGATAATTCAACGCTCGTGAATAAAGCGCCATAAATGCAGATACAACACACACTTGCCAGTATCCAGCGCAGCTGACTGGTAGACTCCAACTCCAACGAAAGAGTCTCGCACACTGAAAGCCCATTCAAAGGCAGGTGGAACTGTCAGTTTTAACAAATACGTAGAGGTATAAATATCTCGCCAATCTAGCACTAGCAGTCGCAAGCGTGAACAATCAATGCCGATTCGCTCAGCTGAGCAAGGTATACTTTGTGACCAAGTTACTTCGAAGGACCGGGGCTTCCTTCCAGCAATGTTCATAGACAAGAGTTCATAAAGGTGGCAGTGTAGGATGGTGACGTGTGGCACTGGGCTAGGTAGAGTGCGCTATACAAATTATTGACTTGTGCAGCAAGACGTTTCATTCGGAGTCTCACAATCGAACTGAGATTACTTAGAAAGCGAGCAAGAGAGAGAGAGAGAGAGAGAGAG